TCCAAATAAGAAAAAAAAAATCTCTAAGTACTATTCCTGTCCTTGTTTTACAGGGGAGAAAACAAAGGGTCAGAGAATTTGCTTAAACCTCATGGCCGGGAATCAATGGCGCTGAGATTTGTTAATCATCTCTCTCTCCTTACAGTCCTTGCCCTTTGAAGTATATCAAACTACCTCCCAGAAATCGACTAAGAAAAAAATGTGGCTGGTAAGGTAAGCTAGGCCCAAAGAGTATGGATCCTTAGGCGCAGGGAGGAAGAATTTTATAACTTGACATTGGTCCTTCCAGATTGGTGAATGTATATCAAGTGGGAGCAAAAGCAATGCCAGAGGATGAAATCAGCTTGAGAGAGAGAGAGAGAGAGAAGAGGGGGAGGAGGGGGAGAGAAAGAGAGAAGAGGGGGAGGAGGGAGAGAGGAAAAGAGGACCAAAGGAACTAGTGAAGGAAACAGAGGAGATAGGAGGAAAGCCAAGAGAAAAAGTATTTCAAGATGGTGGTTCAGAATATCCAAGGCTCCAGGGAAATTAAAGAGGATAAAGTCTTGGAAAAGGCCATTGGATTGAATTACATCACTGGTGATTCCCTAGAGGGCCCTGTCAATAGAATGATGAGCTCAGAAGTCTGGGGAGACAAAGGCTTTAAGGACTGAGTGGAAAAGCTATTGAGGACATTTTAACACCAAGTGTGGTGACACTGGGTAAGGCCAGGGGTTGAAAAGGGGTAGCCAGACCACAGCAGGGCTTTTTAGATGGAAGCATGTTGCTGGCAAAGGGGACAGGCCCAGAGAAGATAATCAAGTGTCAGTACCTTCAGCAACTACTTTGGCTGGAAAGGAAAAGGGGAGCGGAACTGCCTGGAAGCAAAGAAAGAGAAGTTGGCAAGAGATGAGGGTAAACTGAGAAATAAAATAGTCACCAGCTTCAGAATGCGAGGCAAATCCTGCTTTCCCCCAGATGTTCCTTATACCAGCCCAGAGCTGCAGGAGTCTGACCCACAGGCCTATTCAGGCTTTGGCTGTGTCCCCCCAGCCCCCCAACTGTTCTTTGTTCCCTACTCTCAAGCTCCTCCACCTCTTAACTTCTCTGGCGCCCACATCCCACACAGGTGAGTCACAGAGGGAAGAACAGAAGCCCCCACCGCTCTGCTGTGCTTGAGTGGGAGGCTCTGACACCTTCTCCCTCCCAAGGAGAGTGCTCCACAGCCTGTTCTCTGTACAGACACTGCCCTGTTTTTCAGACACAGGACAACTGGGGCATGGAGGGCAAAGGAAAAGAATCCAGGAGAAGGGAAGTTAGGGTTTCCCAGGCTTCTTGGAGAAGGTTCACTTTCCACAGTACTCTTAAATAACACCCACCCAGATCATAACATTTGTAATGCAATATAGAAAAATCCTACTTAATTCATGCATTGCTAGAACACTCATTGGGGGATTTTAAAGGCGGGAAAGAGAGGAGGTTATCTTACCCAACTGAATGGCTTGAAATCTCCTGCTGAACAAAATAAAAGGAAAACAAATGAACAGTACCTTATATGAACAGGGTCTACTTCATTCTCTGAACAACTGAGAAAAGTAAGACTCAGAGAGGCCAAGTGGCTTCTCAGGGCCACAGGGCAAGGGGGATGGGTAGGGGGCTGCGGTTAGAGCCAGAGAAGCATCTCCATTTCCTGAGTGTTCGTGGCTCAGCGCTGAGGTGCCTCTCTGGTCCACTGACTTCCTTTCCCCACGGATCAGCAGGAAACTCAAACCTCATTGAGGTCTAACTTCCAACTGCCTCACTCACCTCTCTGGACACCCAGGCCAGGTCTGTCCACCAGTCTGTCCATGACTGCTATTGTCCCCTCTGAAGGGTATGGGTTTCTAATCTCCCTGAGGAGCCTCTTCTTAATCCCAACACTTGCAGGGGATTTTAGAAGCTCAGCAAGTAGAGAGAAAGAGAAACAATTTAAAACCTGAAGGGCATATTCATTTGGATCAATAAAAATCCTGGAGCCTCTGACTTTTGAATTGACCAAGGCAAAATAAGAGTAAGGCTCGGGCATACCAGCTTCCATTCTTTCTTCTTTAACACCTCCTCCTCCAAATATCCTTTTGATTTTATGCTGGTAGGGCGTTTGTTTTCAGGATTTTTTTTTTTCTCTTTCTTTCTTATGTGTGTTCTTTCCTTCTAACTTTTATAGGTACGTGTAATATTTATGTGTCAGTGACCTTCCAAAGCACTTTTAGAGAGAGTGATTGTTTACAGTTAAGAATTTTCTTTAAGGTCTACGAAGTCCTTTGTGCTTTTTCCAGGAAAGGCACTCAGTAAGAACCAAAACAAACAACAGAATAACTCAAATTTGATTGGAACCAAATCTTTTAGGAGAGTAAGAGAAAAAGAGTGAGCATTTGTTTTTGTTGTTTCTTTTCCCCTCCTCAACCCTGTCAAAGATACTCGAGTCATTCCGACCTACGGTGTGGTTCAGAATTATTTGAGAGCTGTTTAAGGCTGAATTTTAAGCCTTGGGTTGGAGAAATCTTGGCACTGGGAGATTTTGCAAGGGACACTTCAGAAATCATGAAAACCATGTTTACTTCACCAAGTCTTTGGGAAAATTTGTCCCAGGATATTTTACATTTGTCTCTACGACCATGGAGGAGGGAGGACTATTACTGCTCTGGCCAAATTTCACATGTCTTTGGCAGGACTGGAGCTATAGCATTTAGACGTGTGACTGTTACACAAGCCTCTTAAGGATTTATCACAAGGCAGGGTGATGCCTGTGGTTAGTGTTCAGCCCAAACTAACCAAATGGAATCATATTCAGTTGTTTGCCTGACCCCCTCCCACTCTCCCTTCCCAGCATGATTTGTCCTGTGAAAAAGTTATTATGGGGTCAGGCGAGTGCAAGGACTTTATTTAGTCATGAAAAATCCTATGTTCACATTTCATCTCTTCCAATCTCTAGCTCTTTGATTTTGGACAAATTACTTAATCTGTAGAAGTCTCAGTTACCCTAGTTGTGTGGTAGCAATAATCACATCTATATTATAGAATATCTGCAAGGATTAAATGAGATGATGAGTATAAAATCTCCTGGGATAGTACCTGGCAATCTGCATCCCTCAACACACATTAGCTTTCTCCGTTTATGCCACAAAGCTCTCTGAGATCTTTATTGGAAAGACTGCATAAACCCAAAACATCATGCCTCTTGGACATCATGCTTTGCAAAACAAACCTCTGCTAATAATGGAATTGAGTTGCAGACTGAGGCTGACCTACACAATTGACAGTTTTCCCAAATGGAAAGAACTCTTCCCATGGTTCCTGCTGCAGCCCGGAGGAGCCCGCCTCTCCGGGATGGTGGCAGGGACAAGGTGACTGCTGTAAGCCAGATGATCTGGGTCTCTCTCCTGTCCAGAGTTCTGGCATTTCTAAGGTTTCTCAACATTTAATAACAGAAATAATGGAGAAAGATGCTCATGGAAAAAGACCATTGTACTAGAACTCTGAAGCCTGGGAAATGTAAAAGTTCAACAGGGTGTTACCTCATTAACCCCTCTTTTTTCTTCTACTCCCTTGTAAGGATTAGATGTGATGTTCTCTAACATGCTGTAATGGATGTAAGCTGGCTAGCTGGCAGCTAGGATGTCAGAAACAACTGAACCCCCACTGCTACCTGTCCCCCAACCTACTTAGTGAACACTGTTGTCTTCAGGGTCTGTGGGTTTTTTTTTTTTAATGGTAAAAATTCAGACTTAAGAGAACTGTGGTTTTGCTTGGGACAGAATACTTAAAAAATGAATTTTTAACACTTAAGAAATCCAAAAACCTTACCAACAAATATGACTACAACAGAAAAATGTCTTAAGACTTTTTAAATTAAAAAAAAAAAAATCCAACTGCAACGCAGACTAAAATCAAATGAGGGGCTAAGAGTCAGCCCCAACAGGGAACTCTACTAATTAGTTAAAAGGATTAGTTAATTTGAGTGTGAAGACATTTTTCTCTAAAATTTTATTAAAGAGATACATCTTCTCTTTATGAAGGTCAAATGAATAATATGGTCACTAACCCACAGAGAAGATAAATATTTGCAGAATGAGTGAATGAATGTCCTATGGAGTTGGAATAAGAAGAAAAGACAGGCTTTTTGGATGTCTTCTGAATTATTTAAATGAAATCTCTTTGCCGAGAGCCTGGGATTGAGGTTCTGGCTTTCTGGAGAGAAAGGATCTGTTGTATTTCAGCTTCAAGATGTGGTGTGTGTGTTCCATTTAAGGTAAGGGCCGGTGACCCTGGGTTCCTTGCTAAGACCTGGAGCAACCCACATGTTGAAAGATGAGGAGGAAAAACTAAAAGGAAGTGGGTTGAATTAGCACAGAGATGAGAAGGCTAAGGTGGGCGATCATACAACAGAATTCGAAGATTATAGGAAGGACAACACTTCTCTTTAAATATGCTTAAACCAAAGAGAAATGGATTTAGGTTAGGCATTAAACCTAACTGAGCTCCTCGGTTAGGACTTAGGTTTTGTTCTTGTGGCAAAAAAGCACATCACATAAAACTTACTGGTTCTTAAGTGTACAATCTATGCACGCTGTTGTGCAATATAAAGGATTTTTTGACAGTTAAAAGTTAGTAAACCATGCTTTCTTTTTTTCTCTGTTCATCTCTTTCGGTTTGATTGGAAGGGTATGGTCTTTCCTTCTTTGAAATTTTGCAAAATAGCTCACACTCGGAATCCTTAGGAGAGATGATGTCCTAAGGATTCTTTCTAGCCCAGACTTGATGGTAAGGCAGTGATGGGGCTGGCCTGACACGGACGTGGACACACTGATGAAAGAATGTTCCAGGTGCCCTGCATAAAGTTACAGGTGTACAGTTTGCTGAAATTGACCTCTAGAGCTTGTAAACTCTGAGTCTAGATCATTTGATTTCTAAGCTGGGGAAGGTGCTAAGTTTTGCTTTAACCCGAAGCCTGCGGAATCTATGCAGCTCCATACTGCTAACTTTACCTTGGGTTTATATGCATTAAGCATTGACATCTCCACATTTTGACCTCTGACGTGTTTCGGTTGCCTCTGGACAGGTGGTGACGAGGTCTTCTGGTTATTGCGGCAGACACAAATGAAGAAGAAGAGCAGGGCAATGGCCAGAGGAATGGCAACACTTGGCACGAGTATGTACAAGATCTCCATTTTATTCTTCTCCTTGGAATCCTTCGAATCTGGGCACAGAAATAAAAAAGAGCAAAAGTCACACTAGTTCAAATAACATGTATAATATTACATCGCATAGTTGAAAATGACCTCCTATTCTTCTGTACACACAAATTCACTGGAGAAAAAAGGAACCATTGCTTATTACAATTTGTTTCTATCAAACCTTCAACATAATTTATTGAAGTTTAAAAGTTTAAAGTTCAAGTGTTTAAAAATTGCAGAGGGACATTGTGAAGGCTTTGCATGTGTGTGGGTCCCCCTCTGATGTTGCCTCTCTTTAGCAGCAGATCAGCATTTCTCTGACACCTTCAAAGTTAAACGTCATGTGAATGGACTGTATATACCCAAGAGCATTCATGTGGACCACAGGGCTCTTCTTCCATTGGCTGCTAGCCCAGATCAACGACTACAATGTGTTCTTCCAGAAATCATGCCCTTGTCTTGGCTGGTTTGGACTTACAGGGCCAGCCCTGCATCTTCCAGAATCAATGTCACTCAGGAATCCTGGTCCCAGGGTCCATAAAGCCACTGGCCTGAGAATATGGGGGACCTGACTCAGTTCCTGATGTGACCTTGAACAAATGATTCACCTCTTGGGGCCTCACTTCTTCTCATCTGCACAAATGAAGTATCTATTTTGGATGGTGTCTACCGTTCCCTCCAGCACAGCATCACTGAATAACGTGACACCTTTTGAAACCCCAGAATTCTTCTTAAATGATTTCATATGAGCCCAGTAATTATGAATGCTAACACTCTGAAGTGTATTTTTGAAATCTTATATATCTACTCTACCATTGCTTGGAAGAGAATATAATATATATAGAAGGACACGAGGCATACTTTTTAAAAATCGATTTGAGTCTGACCTTTAAATACTTTGGGCATATGATAATAAATTATTTGACTGACAAAACAAACAAGGAATTATGGGCAATAATTGGAGGGGTTACATAATACAGGCCCTGATCACCAATAAACTCATCAACTATCTTGCTTGAAGAAAATCCAAAGTGTGAAAATCCAGATTGACCCCAAATTTAGAGATGATTATTTACTTAACCTAGAATTAACCATGCATCCATTCACTCATCCTCTCACTTGTTCAGTAAGTCAATAAACAAAAGCTCCTACTGCCAAACATTATTCTAGGTACTGGGAATATAAAGTTAAATACGGTATGTCCTTTGTCTTTCAGGAGCTCATGGTTGGGGAAGGAGAACAGAGAAAAGATAATTACAATATGTTGTTGGAAATGCAACAGGGGAAGAAGGACTAGAGTAGTCAAGAGACCCAGAAAGTCCCTCTAAATTGTGAGCTTCCTTAGTACATATAAATTAGAATATACTATACAGAGTTTGTTCTTGCACACACCTGCTTTGGGAACCTGTTGTTCAGTGAGATATACAGTAACTAAATCACACTGCCTTCTCCCTACATAAACAGACGGGCACCAAGACCCGGGTGTTGGGGCTGTGCTTTGGAGAGAGGCGTGGGGAGGAGTAAAATCTACTTATTGCGTATACTAAAAGTAACGGTTTTAATATTTACTGAGTGTTTTCTAGAACAAAATGATGTTAGCTATTATTATTAATATGGGCCAGGTACTGTTGGAAGTGCTTTTCATTAACTCATTCATTTTATCCTCACAACCAACCCCACGTGAGGCAAGAGCCATCCTTATGCCCAGTTTTACAGGTGACGAAGCTGAGGGGACAGAGTGGTTAAGTAACCTGCTCCAGGATATGCAGCTAGTAATTCTAAAGCTGGGACTTCTCCCCTGTTGGTCTGGCTTCATATCTCCTGCCCTAGACCCTCCACTCCACTGCCAGGAATTTGAGAATGGTGCTGTTTGGCACCCCTTCTCTTGTGGTAGGACTTGTTGTGTTTCTCAAATGTGGGAAGGACGAGGGAGGTCTAAACGGTGGGGAAGGACACGGAAGCTTTGCCAGATGTGCTACTTTCGCACTCCCCATTTTATACAGTGGCAGGTAACACATAACCCAGGCGTCTCTGGAGGCCATTCTAGTGGTTCTCATCCTAGGAACTGTTCTCAGGTCCTTTTGTAACAATTGTGTCCGCATGTCTATGGGTGGATGGACAGAGAGAAAGAAATCAAATGAAAAGTGCTTACCACAGCACCTAGCAGATAGATTGATCTTCTATATCAGGAATATAGTAGATCCAGATGAGATCATCTGTCTATCTAAGATCTATCTGTCTGTCCGTCTATCTATGTAGACACTTTAGAGATGATATAGCAGAATAAAGGAACGGTGTGTCTTAGAGTCAGAAACCTCTGAAGACTGCCTTTGTCATCATCTGTGCAAACTTCAGTAAGCACTTAGCCTCTCTGAGCAAACCCATCTGCAAAATGAGAAGAGTAATACCTATTTCATAGGGTTGTTTTAAACAGTAAATGAAGGAACGTAGGAGGGATCTACTCTAGTACCTATTACAACTCAGTCACTTGATGTTTAGCCCTTACCCTTAGAGTAGAAAAGGATTCAGAGATAAAACTTTTGGGCAGGGGGGACGCCTGGGTGGCTCGGTCGGTTAAGCGTCTGCCTTCGGCTCAGGTCATGATCCCAGGGTCCTGGGATCGAGCCCCACATCGGGCTCCCTGCTCAGTGGGGAGTCTGCTTCTCCCTCTGCCTGTCGCTCCCCCTGCTTGTGCTCTCTTTGACAAATAAATATTAAAAAAAAAAAAAAAAAAAAACTTTTGGGCAGGGAATTCTAAATAACCTCAAGCAGGAAACAACCTCTCTGACCCCCATGTCCTCATTTACTTAAGAGGAATAATTGCTCCACCAATCTTATTTGGTTCGTGTGAGAGAGAATGTTCCTGACAAAACTTAAGAAAATTGAAAACTGCCACACAGTTGTTGGATGCTATGATTATTAACATTATAAAAACACTTTCGAATCTCTCAGTACCCTAGTGTGTGCCGGGTTGGGGGTAGGGGGGGATCCCTCTTGTTATTCTTGGATTTTCAGTGAAATCATTATGAGGGTAACGATTACAAAGGAATGAGGTTAATTTAGTACTCACATAACTCTAGTCATTTTTCTGGCCCAGATTTTTAGCAACAAGAGAAAGTAGGGCTCTCACCTGTCTGGCAAACAAAGGAGTCTATCCTGTACTCATTCCGTATCAGATTATTCACGGAATGCCTGTGATTATAAATGGGAGGTCTGGGACAAATCCCCCTGTGGGTCTGCACGAGAACGAACTTCAAGAAGCGGAATCCTTTAAACACAGGCAAACTTGGCTCTTTCTGATTACATGCAGGATATGCAAACGAGCCCAGAGTGTCTTCTTGCCAAGGGAAATAATCAAGCAGAACAATACGCGGCCATGTTGGAAGTGACTGAAAACAAATTTCGGCCTATTGTCAACCTGTGATACACCACACTTACTTCCCCACACACCTCTCTCCGCATTAGGCCAGAAGGGAGTCAGTCTGGCTCAAAAAACTTCACATTAAAAACATTCCACAGAACAACTAACCTTACTCATGGAAAATTAGAAAACTAACATTTACTCAACCTCTTTTTAACAGCCTTGCATTTTTATTCAACACTTTAACCAGGTCCTTGGTGTCATCTCAATTTTACATGTAGACAAATTAAGACTAAGAAAGAACAAATAATTTGACAAAGCCAGAAAGTGGTAGAATCTGGGTTGGAATGCAAGCCTGTCTGCCTTCAGGGCTTCTATGCTTTCAAAATTATATAACTAATAAAAATTAAAATACTGTATGGAATTGTTCTTCATCATTCTCCTTAAGATTCCAAGGCTCCCTTTAATGAGGGCTAATATCTGTTGGGGATTACACTATTAAACAGAATCACATTAGAACAATGGACACTATTCTTACTATTCACTTTAAAGGGTAATGGACACCCTCAGCACATTACAAAGAAACCCGGCGGAAAATTAGAATGGTGAAGATTTTTAATACTTCGAAATAACTGTTTAAAATTTAAATGCACATATTAGTTACATCAAGTTAAATACTTGGGATTTTTGAAACCAACTATTTAGTCTGGATCACATGATTAATTTCCTTTTAAAAATCAACAATTTGGTATCACAGGTCACATCTGACATTCCTATTTTATTTTTACAAAGATATTCAATAGTTGGATTAGTAATTAAATATAATGGAGAAAATACTCCTTTCTTATCCTAGGGCTTAAGACAAGGTAAACGTGATTTCTTATTCAAGAGGTACTTTCATAAAGTGAAACATCATCTGGGATATTACTTTGAGTTAAAACAAAAAAATCCCTAGATCTTCAATATGGCAAAGGTGGGGAAGAAATCTTACAGAACCTTAGAATCCCAAAAATAAATAAATAGCTTGCAGTTAGGTTTTAAACTCTAATCATGTCTGAAAAGAAATGAAAACCATAGAAAACAAATAGGAATTGCTATCATCTATTATTTGAAAACTACAAAGTAACTGGGTCTGTAGCAGATAGGAGCCTGCACCAGTGATATTTAAATATATGCCTGGAAGCCAAAGGAGAAAAGGTGTTAACTAGGTCTTTAGTTGGCATGCTAGGTCTGCCATTAGGTCTCTCAATTTAATGATGGAAATATCAAGAAGATGACCTGTATTATGTATTCTCAAATTAATTCTTAAAAAGACTCTGGCCATATATAGTGATTAAAATTTTTCTCTTCAGCAAATATTGTTTTTTAAGATTTTATTTATTTATTTGACACACAGAGAGAGAGAACAACAGGCAAAGCAGCAGAGGGAGAGGGAGAAGTATGCTCTCTGCTGAGCAGGGAGCCCAATGCGGGGCTCAGTCCCAGGACCCCAGGATCATGTCCTGAGCCAAAGGCAGATGCTTAACCGACTGAGCCACCCAGGTGCCCCTCTTCAGCAAATGTTTTAACCACAGCACACAATGTTTTAACCACAATAAGTGCTCATTTGTGAGCACTTGAGAAAAATCTTAGTAACTAGAATCCACATGAGTTCACTAGAAG